GTCTTATCGCACGGACGACACTAAACAGACCTCGCATAATTTCCTATCGCAATTTCTTCACGACAATTACGAAAAACAATATTTCCTCGTAATCGAACATCAAACGAAAAAAAAGAAACGTGCGACAAATTTGTCCAGTTGATCACGTCTCAACCTAGAAACAGGATTATAATTCTCGGATTAAAAATTCCACGGGCTGGTTCGTCCATAAGAATCGTCAAAAGTGGCCGTCTCGCTTTCGAGCGGTTGACGCCGTTACGTGCGCCACGTTAACATGCAAAACACACCGCCATTCAAGAACACAGAGCGTCCTTGTAATTACATGCATGTACACCAGTGTTCCACGATAAGAATTTCAACCGTTCTCTTTCGGACAAGAAACTCGCCGGTGAAGAAAAAACAGAACGAAAAAAAAAAGAGGAGTTGGAACGAAACGGAAAGAGAGAGAGAACAAAGTGTAGCGAGACGCGAATGGTATCGTGCGGATGTAATCGACGCATTCCACGATCGGAACAATCGAACGTCCACGTTGATGTTACTTCTTGTTTGAATTTTCGTGGAAGATATGTACGTAGTAGGTAAACGATGGTCGTAAGCGTGTAATCGCGACAGAAACGGAACCTTGATCACTTTTACTGTTTACTACGTTCGCGTAAATTGCTCTCCGTGTTTTACCATTGCGTAACTTTCTCGTGGACAGAGGACACTGGAATTGTCGCAGGATTATGCGGTGAAAAATTGTTACTTCGGATTGTATTTGTTACGTTTGGAAGAATTTCATTTGGGATTTTTTTAAGCGAGAGGCGAAGTGTTTGAGTACTTTGGATTGTTTGAAGTAGGAATTCTTTACTCGGATTATTTCGAATGGGGATTCTTTATTCGGGTAATTCGAAAATTCGAAGCGTTTGAATTCAGGATTATTCCAAAATTCGAAGCGTTTGAATTCAGGATTATTCCAAAATTCGAAGAGTTTCAATTCCGGATTGTTCCAAAATTCGAAGCGCTTGAATTCCGGATTGTTCCAAAATTCGAAGCGCTTGAATTCTGGATTGTTCCAAAATTCGAAGCGTTTGAATTCCAAATTGTTCCAAAATTCGAAGCGTTTGAATTCCAAATTGTTCCAAAATTCGAAGCGTTTCAATTCCGGATTGTTCCAAAATTCGAAGCGCTTGAATTCTGGATTGTTCCAAAATTCGAAGCGCTTGAATTCCGGATTGTTCCAAAATTCGAAGCGTTTCAATTCCGGATTGTTCCAAAATTCAGTGTTTCAATTCCGGATTGTTCCAAAATTCGAAGCGTTTCAATTCCGGATTGTTCCAAAATTCAAAGCGTTTGAATTCCGGATTGTTCCAAAATTCGAACTGTTTCAATTCCAGATTGTCCGAAAATTCGAAGCGTTTCAATTCCGGATTGTTCCGAAATTCAAAGTATTTAAATTCCACATTGTTCCAACATAAATACTTCGAACACGAATAACCTCCAATATTCGAATATAAATCCTTCTCGCGTAAGTGTTCCAATATTCCCACTTTTCGTAACATCGCCACGCGTAGATCACATCGTAAATTACAACCGAACCAGCAGGAAGTCGGAGAATACTGAAAATCCGGATACGGTACCGTGTGAAAAAGAAAAAAGGGTGGAACAGTTTGCCGAACCCAGGAATGACCACTTAAACAAGGACCGACGCATGCGTTAGTATCCTGTTACGACGTATCGCCAGGTAACTTACACACGTTCGTGGAGGGAGAGCCTAGGCACGTGTGAAACAGCTGTAGATTTAATCAGTGTGTAGAGCAGGTACGAGGCGACGCATCAATCGGTAAGCATCTCCTGCTCAGTCAACATTCCACCATCCGAAAAAAAAAAAAACAACCTATAAATATTCTTGTGAAACCATCTATTTTAACCGTTTAATCATTCCTCTTCCTAACAAAAAGAAGAAAGAAGAAAAACAGTGAAATTGAAATAAGTTACACAGAATGGTTGTTCAGTGATCGGTGCACCGTGACGTCAGAATTAACAGTAATTTCTAATTATCACCTGATTCGATCGGCGAGAAGTGATTGGAATATTTCGAACGAGAAGAAATCTCGTATTCGTCGAACGGGAAAACAGGTGAATCACGTGCTTAAACGATCTCACGCGGGGCAAAACAGTCAGGTGACTCTTCTAAACTATTCGCGTTCTCCATAGGAAAAATCTACTCGCGACATTCGCTAGTCACACGTTCACGATCTACGCTAATTGCCGGCTATCGTTCACGACCCTCGTTCAAATTGACACAACGTTCACGTTTCATTAAAGAAGTGCCACAGGTTGCATAGCAATAGCGATTCCCCGATTTCCAATGCTGTTACTCTCTTCGACAAGTTCCACGATAAACTCGTTCTCCGATTATCACCGGTGCAATACACAAAGAATTCCTGCAGACTGATCGAACCATCGATAAACAATTCTACTTACGGGGAAAAGCCAACCGATGGATTTTGCAACAGGATAACACAGCTCGTGCGTCGATTTCTTTCACTGGAGACATCGTTCACTTGATAAAACACTTTGTTGATCAAACTTTTCCCGTCTCCAAGACTGAAACTTCCACGATTGGGACGCTGTTTGCAAAGAAATTCGCTGAACGAGTTAAAAGTCGTCTTGGAAATCGAGTCTCTCCCTAGAAAAAAGGATTCGCAGCAGTGATTTCTGACTGAAACGCAGTAATTTATAGTTTCTCTAGTTTATCCTGGAGCTTATCGAACAGAATAGCGCACCAAAAATCGAAGCAACCTATTCATTCAGGCTAATTCACTCGAATGACGCGGAGTACGTTGTGATTTCAGGACTCGAAATTAACGCGATGTGCTAATACGTTTGGTATCGAGAGAAAAGCTAGAGACTCCGTTCGGAAGAAGACTCTAATGAACATGACTGGGTTCAATTTTAAGAGGTTGCTGAAGAATAGAATTCCTGTTTTAAAGTGGTTACCCTTATACAGGACTAAAGACGCGTTGGGCGACCTAGTTGCTGGTCTGACAGTGGGTCTGACCCTGATTCCACAGGTAAACTCCACGGTTGACCATTTGTTTTTTTTTCTAGAATAAACAGTTAGAATTTCGTGTATAGCGATCTAATTTCACGTGAACTTCTTTGTCTGTTGTAATTACAGGCGATAGCGTACGCTGGATTGGCAGGTTTAACGCCGCAGTATGGTCTTTACAGCGCGTTCGCTGGCAGCTTCGTTTACATAATTTTTGGTACCTGTCGAGAAGTGAATATTGGTCCGACAGCATTGATCTCGTTGCTGACGTACACGTACGCTAGGTAAGGCGTCTAATGTTCCCAAGGTGATGTGTTGGAACGTTTGTAGAAGTTGTCAATGAGAGAGAGAAAGAGATCTTAATCGGTTAACGCGGCTTGTTCAATTGGGAGCATGACTGACATGATTTAACAGAGGTTGAAAGGATGCTGTCTTCCTTTCAACGGTTCGCTTTCTTTGTGCTTTATTAACCCTTTCGGGATCGAAGGCTGAAATTTGTATTATGTCGAGATAGCGATTGTCACTTTGAAAAATTGCACTTTCACGAGCTCATTTTTGTTGCTCGAAGAATGTTCGATTTTTGTGAATGAAACTGGGCCAAATTTGTTTTCGTTTGGTAGAAGTTCTCTTATGTGTACTTGCAGAAAACGTGTTAATTACTGGGTCACTATTTCTACTTTTTTTTTTTTTTTTTAAGCTACGATATTTTTTGGTGCATTTTTGTCGATTAGAGAATGTTTCATTTTTATGAATGAAACTGGGCAAAATTTCTTTTCGTTTAATGGAAGTTCTATTGTATCAGATGTACAAATTTTTTCCCAAACTTAAATGTTGATTTACAGAAAGTCAAAATGATCTCCATTATTCCGAATGACATTTTTCCATTTATTGAACAACTAATGAATTCACTCTCTGAAAAAGTACGGCGATTTCGAGTCGATAGAATCTTCGAGACTTTTCGAAAAAAGACACTCAATTAATTTGCACACCTGATACCTCCAAAAAACCTTTTGATCACTGAGTCGCTACTTCAATTTTCCCTTTGCACCCTTTGCACTCCAATGGCGCTGTTATGGCGACATGCGTACTGACTTTGGAGAGCTTTAAAATTGTAAAATTCAGGTCTTTTTTACATTATTAAAATAATGCAAATTAGAAATCTTTTGTTTTTCAAAACAAACCCTTGTGTTTTCAAAAGTATGCCGGAGTTGCTGATTAATCTTACCAAAAAATGCTTGGAGTACAAAGGATTGGACTATCATATTTTTCATAGTTGCTTGAAACGATGTTTAATTCTCGCGAGTGAAACTGTACAAAATTAGCAAAAATGTTAATAAATCCACTCTGAATTCACCTGAAGCACGATACTTCCTTTTTTATCGTACAAATTTCCATAAACTATCGCTTCAACCTAGAACTGGTTGAAAAATACCTGTGACTAACTAATATAAGTCTAACTTCGATCCCGGAAACAGGATCACGAAATCGCTTCTACAAGATGATCAATAACACACCTGTAGCTTACCTGTTCTTAATTCGTGCCTCTCACTTTTCATGGTATTTTCCAGAGACGTACCCGAGTACGCTATCCTCCTGTGTTTTTTGTCAGGATGCGTTACCGTCGTTCTCGGAATTCTCCGACTGGGATTTCTGGTCGAGTTCGTTTCCATTCCGGTCGTCTCCGGATTCACTTCGGCCGCCAGCCTAATTATCGCCTGCAGTCAAATAAAGAGTCTGCTCGGCTTGAGAATACACGGGGAAAGTTTCATCGAGATTTGGAAGGAATTGGTCAATAATATTCACAGAACAAGGATCCCTGACCTGATCTTGTCGTGCTGCTGCATTCTAATTTTATTGACCCTGAAGGTAATTCACCGCGCGCGTTATCGCGAGCAGAACTAGTTCTTGCACGCGTTGCGAATACTAATAGACCAAAGAAAAAATAGGGAAGTAACGGAGAAAAGTGTAATTACCGACCTTTTTTTTTTTAATTCTCCTTGCAGAAATTGAAGGATATCAAGGTCCAGAATGGAATTTTGAAAAAATCCATCTGGTTCCTGGGAACAGGAAGAAACGCTCTGGTGGTGATAATGTGCGCCGTGGTGTCGTGTATCTTTGAAAATCGAGGAGGAGCGCCGTTTTATCTCACAGGACACATCGAAGCAGGATTACCATCCGTTAGGCCGCCACCTTTGTCCAGGAATATCGGAAACGAGACAGAGACTTTCGTCGATATGTGCAAAAATTTGGGCACCGGTATTATGGTGGTTCCGTTGATCTCTATCATTGGGAACGTAGCCATCGCAAAGGCGTTCTGTAGGTTTCTCTTTCTCTTCGACACTACTCTGTTGAAAAAGTTCCAAGACGAATCAAATAAAATATATCAATTTATTCTGGATCTAATCAAACGCTAATCTTGGCAATTTTTTTCGACACAGTGGTATTCCACAAAATTTCTCCCTCTTCAGCTAGTACTAATTAATTTCTCACGAAAAAAAAACAAAGCTCGAGGACAATCTTTAGACGCAACTCAAGAGATGTTAACACTCGGTCTGTGCAACATCGTTGGATCTTTTTTCCAATCGATGCCGGTCACCGGTTCCTTTTCCAGAAGCGCGGTGAACGACGCATCTGGCGTAAGGACACCGTTGGGCGGCATTTACACGGGTAACCATGAAATTTTCACAACGATGAAGAAGAGAAACCGATGAAATTCACAGGAAAATTGAATTTTCGTCGCAGGTATTCTAGTCATTCTTTCTCTGAGCTTGCTCACGCCGTACTTCTACTACATCCCGAGAGCAACTTTAAGCTCTGTGATAGTTTGCGCGGTGATATTCATGATCGAGGTGAAGATGATACGGCCGATATGGAAGTGCAGCAGTGAGTACAAATGAAATTATAATCTTTTCTTTAGAAACACAGAGTGATAACGTCCACTAAACAGTAACATAACAGACGAAGAATATACCAGACGCTGTCTCTTTAAAAAATCTTACTTCCGCATAAAAGTGTCGACAGACTTTTAAAGAGAAATTTTTATAACGAAAGATACGCAGTTTCGGTAGAACTTTGAAACGAAATTAACGAAAAAGAGAACGCATCGGTGAAAACGCTGGGAAAATAATTGAACTAAAAACTGTAATTTTAGAACGAGATCTGATACCAACGTTCGCGACATTCTTCGCGTGTTTGTTCGCCGGTGTTGAATTGGGGATTGTAATAGGCGTCACGATTGATCTGGCAATATTAATTTATTTCAACGCCAGGCCGACAATATATATCGAATACAGAAATGTAAGTACATAACAATGACCGACGAAGATTTGTTAGAAGATTGCTATTTTTCCCTTTAAAAATATCCTATATCTCGCCGCCGCAGACGCCTACGTTAAACTACATCCTCGTTCGTCCGAGTGCAGGACTGCTATTCCCGGCTGTGGACTACCTGAGGATATACCTGATCGAGAACTTAGCTAATGATCACAATAAATTACTGAAAACCTTTAAGAATTCTAAAGTGGTCGTTCTAGATTGCAAGCACATCGATAAGATTGACTTCACTGCGGCGCATGTATGGATTAATAATGTGTTTAAACAGGAGAGACTCTTCGAATTTGACCTGGATTTTACTTCTTCGAGCCTTTCTTCTCTCTTTTCACCACCTCTTCCATTTTCTTCTTCTTCTTCTTCTTCTTCCTCTTCTTCGTCTTCTTCTTTATCTTCTCTTTTGTCATAATCGAACTATAAAGACAGTATTGTTGCGTTAGAGAAAAAGGTATTGATTTAAGTAGCGATTTGAAAGAATTAATACGTGGATAACGAAGAAAAGAGTAGAATTTCTCGATTGCTCAACAATCGACTCAAAGACGTAAGATCTAGGACAGACTTTGAACACATTTTCTTCGATTCACTTCGTCCCATTTTTCCCCACATTCTCTCAGATTCATCGAATTCGTAAACATTTACAGGGATTGAATATGGTGATGAGAGATTTCAAGGAAAAGAATCATCGCTTGATTATGCTACGACCTTCCAAAGATATATTGCGCGCTATGCAATCGCTCTCGAAAGAAACGATTAAAGTGGTCAATACGGATGCCGAACTCGTAGCCGCTTTGAAAGAGCACAATACGGTTAAACGGATTCACGAGGCTGGTGCAGAGGTAATAGATATGTCGAATGGAAAAACTACCATTGGTACGAGGAACGAGCTAACGAGTACGAAACTCTGATTAGATGGAGAGAAAAAAAAAAAAAAAAAGAAAGAAAAAAGAAATCCTAATTGAAACGTTTTCACAAACGATTGTTTTTTTTTTTGGTTTTTTTTTGTTTTGTTTTTTTAGAATTTCTACTAGGTTCCTTTTGCGTATTTTTGTTTTTTTGGTATTTTCTTGTGTTTTTTTTCCTTTTTTTTTTTCTTTAAATAGATACATTATCGGAAATCGGAGTTTTAAGACTATCCATGATATCGTATAAAATCGTAATGAACATTAACGCGTAATTTATGATGTATATATATGAATTATAATGATAATTCGTACATTTTTCTGTAACTTTTAATAAAAATATATATATATATATAT